ACTAATTAATTTTCATAATAGTTAATTACATATATTAATTCAAATAAAAAATTTTTAATTTAAAACATTAATTTTTTAATCTATTTCAATTTTATAAATAAAAAAATTATTTTAATAAATAACTTTATTTACAAAATATAGAAATAATATATTTTAACAAATTTTTATTTTTCAATGCATAAAACATATTCTTTGCAGTACATTTTTATTTTTATGAAAAAAATTTAATTATTAATAATTAATAAAAAATAATAATTTTTTGTAATTAAAAAATAAAATTACAATATTTCATTATTTCACAGATTTAAATGCTAAAAATGAAAAAATTTTCATGTCTATATGTCAATTTTTATAATAAACATTAATTATTTAATATCGGTATTTAATTATTTAAAATACTATACTTGATTTAAAATAAAAAAACTACATTAAATTATGTATATATTCATTCGAATTTAATTTGACCATTTGAATTTGCCGCTCTTCCTAGTAACTTTCTGTCGGTAAGTTTCTGTCGAATACTTTTTGTCAGTAATGATGCATTTCCTCAATCCAGTGGTAACAACTCTCGCAGGTCTCGTGCCTGTCACATTTACCTTTTTAACTTTTAGATAAAATTTCGTCGCTCCTCCTCGTAATCGGCATTATTACACTTCAAAACAATCGGCTTTTTCATTGACAATGTCAAATCGCGTTAATACACATCAATTCAAACAATCCAGGTGAACCGTATTCACGGTAAGAAAAAAGTATACACCGTAACGTCTCTATACCGTCATTACATGCCGAACGGTATAGCCACTAAGCTATGAGTCTATACTTTTTCCTTACTGTCTATACTTTTTTTTTTACTGGGAACTCAATATAAATTTTTTCGAAAAGTCCAAAATTTTCCAAAGTCCAATCTTCCAAAATTGCGTTTGTAATTAATTTTTATTAAAATTTTTTTTCCATTGAAATCCATTTTTCAGTTTTGAGGTTATGTTCGGGTCTTTATATCCTCTTTAAGGGCATGTGATAGAAATAAAAATTCGTCTAAAAATAAATTCTAAAGGCACTCTCACAGCTTTTTGGCTGCCTGCCTGCAGGTTACCATGGCAACGTACGAGTGTGAGTGAGACAGAAAATTTGAATATTCAAATTTTTTAATTTTCTGTCGCACCCACTCTCATGCGTTGCCATGGTAACCGGCAGGCAGCCAAAAAGGTGTGAGAGTGCCTTAAGTAATGAAATTCCATTAAATGAAAATTCTAACAAATTAATTACAGAGCTTATTTATGCTTCCCTCATTTTTGAGGGGGGAAATTTTTTTAAAAGTATGAAATTAGATGACAGGGAGACTTTATACTAATTTTCATATCAATGAAATTTCATCTAAATTCATCGCAAGTATTTTTATGAGAAAATTTACGGAGAATATTTATATTTAAAATCACGTGACCTAATAAACACGCATGCCCTTAATAAGTTTTCTTTTTAATATTAGAAAACGAAATATTGCCATAATTCTTAATATTATTAAATCTTCTCGTTAAGAAGTTTTTTTTTGTAAATTATAATATTTATAAAATTTATATTATAATTATAGTAATAATATAAATTGATTAATATATTATAATACGAATTAATTTTCAATATTAAATTTTCTCCACATTAATACAAGTTTCTTGACGTATGTGCTTTAAAAGTTGACATGCATTTTCAAATATTTTATTGCATTTTTGGCATTTGCGAATTATTATATTATTTTGTTTATGTCTATTTATATCTTCTTGACGATTGAAACTGGAATTACAATCCTCGCAATGATGTGATAGCCATGGTCTTGATTTATAATTATTTGGATTTGAGTAGCATCTTAGTCTTTCATGTCTTTTTATCGAATTTAATGTATCAGAAAGTTTAAAACAAAATTTACATTTAAAATTTTTCGTATTTTCAGCAGCATTATCGATTGGAATAATTTTTTCCTTATTTTTTTCAATTGACAAATTCTGAATCTTGGTACTTTTTTTCTTATTTTTCCTCTTTTTCACTGATAAACTCTTCAACTCTGTAACAACAAATATTTGTATGTAAAAAAAAAATTAAATAAAAAAACAAGTATACCAGCAAAAAAATTCATAGGAAAGAAGCAGAGAATAGATTTTTTTTTATTATTGCACACTATATTGTATGAGAATTAGTTTATATTTTAATTACAAAAGCACATTATATTATATATATATATATATATATATATATATATATATATTAATCACATACAAATATAGCAAGTACATTCAATAAAATTACCATGTTTTGACAATGTAGGAAAAAAAATAATATCTAGCATTAAAAATAAAAACAAGAAATGATAAAGAATTTAAAGGAATTATTTTTTTTATATTTTAAAAATATTCTATTAAAAAAAATTTATTTATTAAAAATTATAAAAATTTAGGAAAATTTCGCCTGTAATACATCGACTAAAATGATTTTGATGCAGTTTCCCAAATATATTTTTCAAAAAAAAAAATTTTTTTTTGTTTTTTTTTAGAAATGAAACGAAAATTCAAAATAGAAGATTTATTTTAGCCTCATGCAGAGGAAAGAGTAGAAAAAAAATTAATAAACGAAATACAATAATTCTCAATATTATATTAAGGAGGTTTAATACTGAAACATAATCTTAAACTAAAAATATTTTTCTATATATATATATTCTATATATATATATATATATATATATATATATATATTAATCACATACAAATATAGCAAGTACATTCAATAAAATTACCATGTTTTGACAATGTAGGAAAAAAAATAATATCTAGCATTAAAAATAAAAACAAGAAATGATAAAGAATTTAAAGGAATTATTTTTTTTATATTTTAAAAATATTCTATTAAAAAAAATTTATTTATTAAAAATTATAAAGATTTAGGAAAATTTCGCCTGTAATACATCGACTAAAATGATTTTGATGCAGTTTCCTAAATATATTTTTCCAAAAAAAAATTTTTTTTTTGTTTCTTTTTTTTTAGAAATAAAACGAAAATTCAAAATAGAAGATTTATTTTAGCCTCATGCAGAGGAAAGAGTACAAAAAAAATTAATAAACGAAATACAATAATTCTCAATATTATATTAAGGAGGTTTAATACTGAAACATAATATTAAACTAAAAATATTTTTCTATTGAAAAATAAACAAAAATAAAAACATAAATCCGAAAAAATTGTGCGAATCGATACAAAAAAGCGATTGTAAAACAGAAAGTAATAAGTAACTTTATGCTCCCTGCATGCTTCTGCCATCTGACGGCGGCAGGCCGTAATGAAGCTGTCATTATAAATTACTTTCCTACTTTTCGTTTTTCAATCGCGTTTTTGTATGGATTTGCAAAATCTTTCGGATTTATGTTAATTTTAATAAATTACGAAATAACTATCAATTCGATTCAAAAAACAATATTCATTCAAATTAATATTATTGTAATAATTCTACACAATTTTGCTCGTTTCATTTTTTTTTTTTTTTTAATCTTCTCTTTAAAAATATTAAACATAACAAAAAATTATCTCTTTTACGTTGAATATTATTTAAATAAATTATTTTCAACAAAATATATAACAATATGAACAATATTAGTAAATTTTTATTAATATGCAACCCATGATTATTTCATAAAACTTATTAGTTAAAACTTTCATTATAAAGAATTCTTTTAGATAAAATTATTTTTTAGACGAATTATTATTTTTCGAATTAACATCTGACAAAATTTCTTTTTAAATAAATTTTTACTTTACAGAATTTATATTTCACAGAAGTTTTCTTTAGCAAAATTTTTATTTAAAAACAAAATTCTTATTTAACCGAATTTTAATTCACTAAAATTCTATCCAAATTACAATTTGTGAAAATAAAAATTCGATGAAATGGAAATTCTGACATTTAAAAATTTAAATCACTTCAAATTCTTTTTGAATAAGAATTATGCTAAATTAAAATTCGATTAAATTAAAAAAATTTTTTTTTAAATAAAGAATTGGGTAAAGAAAAATTTTGTAAAATAAAAATTAAATTAAATAAATTAAATAAATTAAAAATAAACTCTGTAATGACAAATAATTATATTAAAAAAATTTAAACAAGTTTAAATGAAAAAAATAGAATCAAATATTTATTTATGGAATTGATATGGAATTGACGCAGATGAATAGAATGAATATTTTTATTATTCACTGATTTACCAAGGGAATTAGTTTATTTTATAATTAAATAAATAATAAATATAAATTTTTTTCGTAAAAAAATTTTTGTCAATTTTTAAATCAATATTTATACCATTTTTTCTGTAAAGAATGAAAAAAAATATAATAATATTATAAACAAAAATTCAAATATTTATTTAAGCCACTGTTAAAAAATAATATTTATTTAACATTGTTTAGTACAAATTTTATTTCTGTTTTTGTTAGAAGATTCCCATTTGTTGTAACATCTGTTTTACGCACAATTTTTCATTTTGTTTTTTAATACTGAAAAACAATTTTTTTTTTAAGGTAAAATTGAAGTAGCTTCTAATCTTTAAATGATAATAAATATTGTCCAATAATTCTGCAACAGAATAAAAGCAACAATTAGAAAAATATTTCGAAAATAACATTTAAAAAAAATATTTCTCATTTAAATGCTTTACATAAAATAAAATTTTTATTATAGTCAATAATTTAAAAATATAAACAACGTTTATGATCAACGATTTGAAAACATATTTTTTAAGACGAAAAAGTTTTAAAAATTTCTATCTTAAAAAATATTTTTTTAATAATTTTTTTGTCTTTTTTTTTATCAAAAATATTTAATTGTAAAAAATATTTTTAAGAGAAAAATTCAAAGAATTTTTCCTTAAAAAAATATTTCTTTAAAAATCGTTGATCATAAACGTTGTGAATTTTAACATCGTAAATAAATTGTTTTCAAGAAGTAAATAAAACAAACATTTCAATTTATTTGCATTTATTTCGTACAAACAGTTTAATCACATGAAAAATTAATTCGTTTCTCAATTATCTCATTAAGTTAAAACGAAAATTAATTTTTTTTTTTTTATTTCAATTTTTCCAATAAAATTTTGTTTCTTTATACATATTTCTGAAATATGTAATTAGATATTCTTGTTCATTACAAAATGAGATAATTAATAATAATTTATATTGGTTACTTCAATATATTAAATGTTACGTGTCATCACTGTTAGTATAGATGTGTCTATATTGAATGAAAAAATATTAATATTATTATACGAATAATAAATAGTAAAACATGGAGTTTATTTCTAAAATTCTTAAACTATGATTCCTTATAAGAAAATTGATTAAATTAAAATTTAAAATAAATTCAAATTTTCAAGAGCATTGAGAACTCTTTTTAATTTTCTATAAGATTTTTCATATCTTTTTTGAAGTAGAACAGCTCCTAAAAATGTAAAAGCAACTTTTGCCTCAGATGCATAAGAAAGATTAAAAACCCAATAAACTGCCTGTAAATATAGCAGGCCGTCTATTGGTGTTCCGGTGAATTCAATTTTTCCATCAATATAAATTGAAACCAACAATGATGTTGAATCTTCAGCTCCAATGGCAATTAAACGTGGTGGATCTTGAATTCTTGGAAGTGCTACATCAAAAGATGTTCCGTCCTAAAAATAAAAAAAAATAAAATAAAAAAGAATTTTCAGTCTTAAATAATTTTCTTACGTTGATAAAAAAATATTCTTCACTTTAAGAGGATTCCTCTTCTTTTTCCTATTATTACTATCCTCAAAAATGGAAAGGAAAATGCAAAATATTATCAGTTTCTGGACTAATACTTTATATAATTTCAAATAGAAAATTGTCAAATTTTAGATAAAAAAAAAAAACGCATTTCAAATGAAGAATATTTTTTTTCGATGCAATTTTTAAGAATATATTTTATTGTAATATAAAATTATTTTTTATACATATATAATATACCTCAAATATTTCTATGATGTGTCTACTTCTATTTTCTTGTCCAAATCTAGCCTTGAAGTGAGTAGAAATTAATTGCAATGCTTGAACAGATAATTGACTTATTGTTTTATTCAGCCAAGTATTATCGTTTGGAGCAAAATAGTTCACCAATTTTGGTACAGCAATAGACCATCGATCTCTAAGCTCTGGCAGTGATAAGCCCACTATTGCTTCAAATTCATTAAGAACCTAAAAAAAAAAAACAAAAATTGATATAGAATATAAAGAATTTGGTTTTTTTTTATTAAATTTTTTATGTGAGTAGTGAAAGTAAAAGAAAAAAGAATTTAAAAAAAAATTGTAAATAATATATTAAAAAATAAAAAGAATTGACCTACCAATTGTTGAAATTTAAGAGCTGGATAATCTCGCAAATGCATTTCCACAGACGATGCACGTTTAGCATCCTCTTGTCTTTTTTTTCTACAACGAATAAGAAGATTTTTGAGAATATTTATCGATGGTGATTGTTTTGCCATTTCTTGATGCATCATTTTAATAATTTTTTCATGACATTTGGCTGGTGTATCTTCTGCAGACATTTTTCTTCTTTGCAATTTTAAATAATGAACATGATTTTTAGAGCATCTTTTCATTTGACTGACTAACGTTTCCTAAAAATAATTTTTACAAACATTAAATAAAATTTCAAAGAAATAATCGTTTTATTAATTTTATTTTTTTAATATAAAAGAGGAAAATAATAGTTTAATTCAAGTACAGAAAAGGATTTTAGAAGAATGAAGAAGAATATTTTTTTCTATACTGAGAATTACAAGTGAAATTATTCAGAATTTTTTTTTTAAACATTTTTTTCGAAATATTTTTATTAAAAATAAGAAAATATGTATTTTGTTATTTTTTATAAATATTTCGAAAAAAAATGTTCAAAAAAAAATTCTGAATACATAATTTCACCTGGAATGCTTCATATATCAAAGGGTGATTCTCCGCGTAGCGCACAACTTGCTTTTTTTCATGTTATGAAAGAAAAATTACAAATAATGTTCACATAATATTTCGATTCCAATGTAAAAAGGTAATTTCTGAGATTACAAATAAAAACCAATAGTTACTTTTGTTTTTAACATTATACATTATACAGAATTTCCACCGTCACTAGTGCAAGTTTAATACACAATGAAACAAACAAAATTAAAAATATTTATTATAAACTATCATAGCTCCGGTAAGTTTACTATAACTTACCAAATAAATTTCCATAAATTACCAAAATAAAATTTTTAATTGTCGTTCGCGCTATATATATTTTTGTAAATTACCGCGAAAATTTTCATAAATTACCGAAATTAAAAATTTTAATTGCGATTTATGCTTTACATATTTTTATGAATTATAGCCAAAATTTCTATAAATGACCGTATAAATTTCCATAAATTACCGAAATAAAATTTTTAATTGTCGTTCGCGCTATATGTATGTCTTTGTAAATTACCGCGGAAATTTCCGTAAATTACCAAAATTATAATTTTTAATTGTGATTCATGCTTTACATATTTTTATGAATTTTAGACAAATTTTTTATAAATTACCGCATAAATTTCCATGAATTAGCTCGAAAATTTCCGTAAATTACCGAAATAAAATTTTTAATTGTCGTTCGCGCTATATGTTTTTAGGGTTTCGTGGCCCATGGCCGAAAGCCTTATAGTTTCACTTTGGCGTCCGTCTGTCCGTAGTATATTTTGGGGCACCACAGCTCCCAAAATCAAATTTTAGGGCACAGATCCCAAATTAAAATTTTGGGGCACCACAGATCCCAAATTCAAATTTGTCTCAGTAATTGACATGTCCCAATAGCTGACATGTCCCAATAGTTGACATGTCCATATAGTTGACATGTCCCAGTAGTTGACATGTCCAAGAGTTGACATGTCTTAATAGTGGACATTATCGAATGGACATTTTCAAAAAAAGATAAATGATTAATTAATTTATAATAAAAATTTTGCTAAATAAATAAAATTTAATAGTACATAAAATTTATAAAATAAATTTTATTATTTATTTTTAAATTATTTATTTTTGATTTATTTTGTTTTTAATTAAAATTTAAAGCGCCACGAAACCCTAGATGTAGGTGCAATTGCGCCTAGTTCTTTTCCTATTTTTGTAAATTACCGCGAAAATTTCCATAAATTACCGCGGAAATTTCCGTAAATTACCAAAATAATATTTTTTAATTGTGATTTATGCTTTACATATTTTTATGAATTTTAGACAAAATTTCTATAAATTACAGCATAAATTTCCATAAATTACCTCGAAAATTTTCGTAAATTACCGAAATAAAAATTTTTAATTATCGTTCGCGCTATATATATATTTTTGTGAATTACGCCAATTCAAAAAGCAAAGAATTTTATTTTAATTTGTTTAAAAAAATTAAAAAATTATAAAAAAATTTTCCGGCCCACCATTGATATTTATTTCTTGACACTTTATCTTCAAAAATATGTATTGATATTTATAATTTCGATAAAAAAATATTTTTTAAGTTTCAGATACCAAATCATGCGCTACGCGGAGAATCACCGATAAATATAATATTTATAAACAATACTTACAACTCCAGCGGCAGTTCTCAATTCTAAAATAGGAAATTTTTGAAGAGCTCTTTGAGCAACATCACAATAATCAGCATCTTGCATTAAACCATTGTCTTCCATGCGTCTGACAATTTTTCTTATAATTTCATTTCTCATTTTATCGTCAGGTTTTACACCTTCATTGATGACTACCTGAATATCTTCCGGCCACGATAATGGGAAACAATTTTCAATTTTATTTGCCTGAAAGAATAATGAAATTGATGTAAAAAAAAAAATTATAAATATAAATAATTTTTTCTATTTTTTAAAAATAACTATATTCAATTTTTATTGTTTCATGAATAATTTTACATATATATCTATATATAATAAAGATATAATAATATTTAAATTAAATATATAAAATTATTAATACAACACGTACCCTTACAAATATATGACTTTCGGTAAAAAGTGATAAATCTTCTGTGGACGTTGAAGGAGTTGCATAATCAATAATACCGGTACTAACAAACATGGGAAATTGTAGAGTTTCCAAATTTTTAACTGATAATGTTGGATGTTCCCTACTACGTGAATCTTCTGAATCTATAACAAATGAAAAAAAAAAATTTATTTATTGGTAACAAATTGAAAAAAAAAGAAATATACAATAATCAAATGAATATGAAAGCAAAATTTACTTATTATTGCTGCGTGGTATTATTATAATAATTAAAAAATATTATCTAATACAAATTATTGCATATTATACAATATTATTTCTTTGAAAATTTATATTTTTTCATTAATTTATATAACAAATTAATCTGTTTAATATTTATTTCATTCAAAAAGCATACAAATAAATATACAATTTTATTTTCTTTTATATTAAAAAAATACTCGGTATAGAGTATTTCAACATATTATCCTCAATCTATAATGAAAAAATTTACATCAAGAATATATTTTTCTTATTATAAATAGAATTGTATCTGGATTAATTATTATTCTTGATTCAAGAATATTTTTTTTTTAGTGAAGTTAAAAATTATTTTTTTTAGAAATTTTTTTTTTTCTTAATTTATATATTAACTTTAATTTTTTTTTATGTAAATTTAATAATTTTTCTATCAATTTATTTAAAATGGGCACATTTTTGTTTCAAGGTTTCAAAGGTGAATTATTTTTCTTTATTGAGTACAATAATTTTTTATTATAATGTAGATGATTATAATAGTAAAAACGCGTTATTTATTGTAAATAAATATATCCATGATTAATATAATCATTTTAAATTATTACATGTAAATCTTATAATCAATTACAAAAGCGATATAAAATTATGAGAAGCTTGTGAATGAGCTCTTAAAATTAATTTGTTAGAATTTTCATTTTCCATGAATTATTTATTATACCTTGAATTTATTTTAGAATTATTATTTAATAATCATTCCATTCCGAATTTCTATATTAAAAAATTAATACTTAAACGAACTTTTTTACATTCCGTCAATTTGGGCTATTATACTCAAGAAAACGCTACTTTTTTTACTCAGTGCTTCACCAAAATTCAGAATTTGAAAGTTAAACATTGAAATTTTACTAAAATCTATATTTATTAAAAAAGGTAAAAATTTTTTAAAATTAACATTTTTTAGGTACTTTATTAATTCAAAACTGGCGCTGAGTATAATAGCCCCACTTGACGGAATAGTTTATTTTACTCCTTCAAATATTCTTTACAATTATTTTTTTTTAATTCTTTTTTAATTTTGTTAAGGGGAGGGACCGGTAAAATTTCAATCTATTGAAATTAATGCTATTTAGATTTGTCAAATTTTTTTCTGACAATATTTATTTAAAGTTATAATATACTCTGAAAAATTAAAAAACTTCATTAATAATTAAATAAAAAAATTTTTTCAAAAAATAAAATTTTTGTAAAATAAAAAAAATTGTTAAAAATTACGTTTTTTTTATTTTTTATAGTGGAATATAATTTCAGGTTATGAGAAAATGTCAAAAAAAAAAAAATTGTTACCTCTAAACAAGATCAATTATGTTTCGTTTAAATTTAAATGATTATTTCTTAAAAATTCAATTTCTTACACAATTTTTATTATTTTTTATCGACAATTTTTTTTGAGGCTTTTTTCATGGTTTTGAACAATCAATCGTATGGAATTTGAAAATTTTTAATATTTCTAAATGGACAACATTTTTTGTTATACATAATAATTTTAGATGCCAAATAATGCAAAAAAAAAAAATTGATAGCCTTTAACAACATTAATTTCGATGGGTTGAAATTTCACCGGTTCTTCACCCTTAAAAGTACTGTTTACAAAAATTGGATACAAATTGTAATTTTCTTCTGAACTGAAAGAAAAATGGCAAAATCATTTAATTGTTTCTTAATTCAATTTAAAAAGTCAAAATATTAACAAATCATTTTTTTATAAAAGATTTTGATCCAATATAATTTTTTTTGTCCTACCTGCACGGAAAGTGTGTTATTTCGTGCACTTGAGGCGGTCGCAAAGTAAGTGATTCCCGCCCAGAGATGGGGTGAGCGGGCGCAAAGTACATTCGCGCCCGCTGACGTCATAGATGCGGGCGCAAAGTACATTCGCGCCCGCTGACGTCATAGAAGCGGGCGCAAAATACATTCGCGCCCGCACCATTAAAAAAGTATTGTTTTCATTTTTTGTGACATAATAAACATACATAATATACGTAAACAACTACATGTAATTTACCTTAAGTATATTATCTTCCCAACCCTGATGGAACATTGAAACAAGCGGACTTGCATGCACTCAATAATACACTTTCCATGCAGACAGGACAAAAAATGTTGTTCGCAGCACGGGCGCAAAAGGTGATAGTGTCTCAGGCGAGATTATGAAGAAACCTCGGCGACTCTACGCTCCCTCGGCTTCGCCTCGGGCGCTTCGGGTCCCCTTGGTTTCTCTAATCTCGCCTTCGCCACAATCACCTATTTTGCGCCCTTGATACGAAAATAACTATTCTAAATTGTGTTTAAATCTTCCAAAATTGATGGAAATTAATTATTCTAATACTTTTTTTTTGCGAATTTTTAAATACCAAAATTTTGTTCGAATCGAATAGAATGATTTTGGGGCAAATATAAAAAAATAAGAACCAAACACTCATGATAATAATTTAATTTTCGTCAAAATGATTCCGCCGAACTTTTGTTCGGACAATTGAAAATTCTGTCATTTAAATTCCGTTTAATTGAAATTACATTAAAAATGATAATTCTAAATGAAAATTTAGGTAAATTAGAATTTTTTTTTTCAAATAAAAATTGTGTCAAACAGAAATTTTGTCAAATGAAAATTCTAAACTAATTATAATTTCAAAGCTTATTTCATGCTTCGAAAAAATTCAAAAAAAAATATATATATAACAATTTATACATAGAATTATTTACAATTGTAAATATAATTTTGTGCAAATACCAGCACGTAAATGTCTATTTAAACTGCTGCTTTCGGAAAAATTACGATTACAATATTGACAAATATGACTTCGTCCACAATCATGACGTTGATGTTGTCGTAGACGACCTTTACTCATATAACTAGCGTGACATTGTTCGCAAGGAAACATTGCCGGTTTATCTTTATCAAATGATTTTGAATAACAATTAAACATATGTTGATTTCGACTATTTACATTTGCAAAATTTTTTAAACAATAAAAACATTTTAAAAAAGAATCATTTACTCCTTCATTATCATCAGTTGTTAACTCCTTGTAGTTTGTCCTCCATGAGAATAATTTAAATTCTGAAACAGAAAAATTTTAAATAATCGTCAATTAAATATTTACAATAAAAAGGGGAAATAAATTTTAAATATTTACATTGAATAAGATATTAAGAAAAAAAAAATCTTTTTCATAATTTCCTATATATGAAATTAAAAATATTATTTATAAATTTGGTATACATTAATTTATTACTATATTACCTATTTAATTACAATTTATTATATATATATATATATTTTTTTTTTAATATAAATGACTGCAATTGCTATTTAAATGTGCTTTTAGAGTAGAATATTGTAAAAATGTTGATCCACATTTTTCACATTTATGAATTGTATTACAATCGTGTCGAATATGAAAATTTAAACTTTTTCTTTGCGTATAAGATGTACCGCAAGCACTGCATGTATGAAATTTGCGTTCTTTCATTTTAACACTTTGTGGATTCATTAAACATTGATGAAGTTCATGACGAGTCTGATAACGTTGTTGAGTAAATGATTTTTTACAAAATGAACATGAAAATAATCTCAATCCTAAATTTTCGAGTACCGATGTTTCATATTGTGTAAATGTTGAATCCAAATTATGAAAAGTTGTATTTATATTTCCTGAAACAATATAATTCATATTAAAATTAGTATTAAAAAAAAAATAATATTAAGGTCTAACAATTTCATACACTAAAAATTTAATTAAAACAAAAGCAAACAAATGAAAAAAAAAGAAACAAAATAATTATACCATGCAATGGAACATTAAATTTTACAAAATTATCACAATCTTGTGTAAATAGAAATATTATATGAAATATTATATAATAAAAATAATAATAATAATATATATGGTGTAACTTTATTTTATTATTATTTATTATAAAGATGTTTCAAATTTCGTGGCCTTTGCGGTACAATAAGTAGAAGTTATTTAAAAAAAAAAAAAAATGCTTATTTTTCTATTATTTTATTTCGAATGTATTTTCGCTATACAATATAGCTCATCAAGATTACAAAAAAGACAAGTATTTCGTTATTATAAATACCTAATAACATTTTCAATATCGAAACACACCTTCTCTCAACAATTTTTATCAAAATGGTATCTTTAGATAATCATGGAATATTCACGTTGCTAAGGAACCAATAACAGGTATGACAGAAATGGATGGAAATATATGATGTATTCCACACCAAAGTGTAAGTCCATCTGCAATTGCATCTCCGATTTTTTTGGAAATTTTTTTTTTTAGTACTAATTGAGACTAGCTTCCATGAATTTTTCAAATTTTTTTAGCAAGCCGCTTTCGAGTTATGGAATTTTGAAAATTGGAGAATTATCATGACTTTTAATTTTTGAATGCTCATTTTGCTCTTTGAAAGATATTCTACAATTCTGTTTGTTGAATTTTAATATTTTGTTCAAAAGTTAATAAACAAATAAAATTTTTATATTTCTTTTTTTTTTAAACAAAAACCATTATTTAACAAAAACACAAAATCAGAATTGTAGAGAATCTTTCAAAGAGAAAAATGAGCCATTGGATAAAAATTAAAATTGTTCACTTACTTTTAAGAAAAAAAAGAAAATGTTTATTAATTATTATTTAACAACAAATTTTTACTCAAAATATTTTTTTTTCAAAATTGTACAATTGAATCTGTCGAATTTGTGTGTAATAAATTTTAAATATATATTTTTAGTTTTGTTAAAAACTACTTTTTAGTTTGAGGTTATGTTAATGGGTTGAACCTCCTTTAATGAATTTCTAACATATAAATAATGACAAATATAATCCACAATGAAATATATGATGTATTCCACGCCAAAGTGTAAGTCCATCTGCAATTGCATCTCCGATTTTTTTGGAAATTTTTTTTTTCTTTTAGTACTAATTGAGACTAGTTTCCATGAATTTTTTCAAATTTTTTTAGCCAAAAAAATATTTTTAAAAAATTCCGAAAATATAGTAAATATTATTTGCCCATTATCAAGCTAGGCTTAAAAGTTTCGTAAAAAGAAGTAGTTTTTTTGAAAAAATTTTGAAAAAAATCGATCAATACGTCAAATGAGAAAAATGACTTTTTATCATTAAAACTCAAAAATTTGATATTAATATCATTTGAAAAAAAAAATCGATTTTTTTTTAAATTACGTTTAAAAACACACATTTTAAAAAAAAAGACTTTTAAAATTGATGCATTGTTAAGGAAGTTATGAGCATTCAAAAATTAAAACGATGCCTCCCGTTGATAAGATGCCCGTTCATTTGTCAGAATAATAAAATACCAACACGAGCTAAGTTCAAGATGAAGCTAGTTCAATTGTCAAAATAATAAAAGGCTAACTCAGTTTCCGTATAATATAATCCTATCTCGCATTAAATTCGAATTCAAGTTTTCGTAAATTAAAAAAAAAGTTTAAGTCGATCAGAATATTAATTCACACTTTTTAATGATTAATTAGTGATTAATAATTATTAATAAAATAAGAAATAGAATAAAAAACAAATTATAAAATAAATGAAAATAAAAAATATTATTAAAAAAGAAAAAAATTAATTTAGCCTTGAATTATTTATTACTAATATTATTTTTTTTATTATAATTTTTTTATTTTGTTAATCATTACAAAATATTAAATAATATTCCGATTGAGTTAAAAATTTTTTATTTTACGAAAACTTGAATTCAAACTAAACTCAATATATAACATTATATAATAATATTATATGTTATATTGAGTTTAGTTTGAATTCAAGTTTTCGAAAAATAAAAAATTTTTAACTCAATCGGAATATTATTTAATATTTTGTAATGATTAATTAATGATTAACAAAATTTGTGGATTATATTTGTCCTTATTTATATGTTAGAAATTCATTAAAGGAGGTTCAACCCATTAACAAAACCTCAAACTAAAAAGTAGTTTTTAACAAAACTAAAAATATATATTTAAAATTTATTACACCCAAATTCAACAGATTCAATTGTACAATTTTGAAAAAAAAATATTTTGAGTAAAAATTTGTTGTTAAATAATAATTAATAAACATTTTCTATTTTTTTTAAAAGTGAACAATTTTAATTTTTATCCAATTTTATAAACAATGGCTCATTTTTCTCTTTGAAAGATTCTCTACAATTCTGATTTTGTGTTTTTGTTAAATAATGGTTTTTGTTTAAAAAAGATGAAAAATAAAACTTTTATTTGTTTATTAACTTTTGAACAAAATATTAAAATTCAATAAACAGAATTGTAGAATATCTTTCAAAGAGCAAAATGAGCTATTGTTTGTAAGAATTGCATAAAAATTACAATTGTTTACTAACATTTAAGAAAAAATACAAAATGTACTTTGTAAAAATGTTTATTGAACAATAAATTAAAAAAAAAAAAAATGTTAATAATTTTTATTTTGAAAATTTCAGTATACATCTGTTAACTCAATTCATGTTCATCTATCATTATTTTTTAAGATAAGAATCCTTATAGTCATGCAATGAAGACATAGCTTTACAGTAATATAAGAGGCAGTCGTCGTAACAAATTGAGTGTACATAGCTTAATAGATCGACGTATTCGATCTTAATTTCAGTCCTACATTCCAAAATCTTTGAATGCAATTCGTCAAACTTGTCCCATATGCTTTTGAGGAGATCTATTTTTATATTAACGTAGTTGGGATCATTCCTTATTTTATCCTTATTGCATTCATCGAAGGTACTTTGTATAAAGTTAAAACGCTGCTGTTGCAAATTACGTAAAAAAAAGATCATGGACATGATCAAATGCTAGAAAAAAAATTAATCCTGTAAATAATATCGAGTTAAAATTACAAATGAATTATAATATATAATTTAATAAACGTAATATGTATTATATTATGTGCATCCATCTCTAAAACCTTTTTTTTTAGAGAAAAAATTTTTTTCACATTTTCATGTGAAATGTAGTTCAAATTTCGAATTTGGTTAAATATATTTTTTATCTTTTTTACATCTTAAATATTCAATAAAATAGATTTTTTTTATTTTGCTTAATAAAACAAGAACTTTTTACTGTGGTAAAATTATCTCACTAACATAAACTTTTTGAGAGCCTAAGGTAACGTCTGTAGCGGAGCGTCACATGTTTTTTTGTATATTTTAGAATAATTTTTTATTAAATTTAAATTTACCTTGTCAAAAATTATTATAATCGACGACACTGTTCTTAATACAAATAAATCGAAATATGATTTATTTTTGTAGAAAAATTAATATTTACTATATTTTATAATTATAAAATAATACACAGGGTGAATGTGACGATGTGCTCTAGTCAAAGATTCGACGTATAATGTGATGTCCTCTGGAATTAACGATTCTGGGTTTGGACGGTTGGTTGCCATTATCCCCACTCAACATTTGTCATAATTCTCGTTAACTACCGCACCCTGCTCTAGTAATAAATTGACTTTATTGTTAAAATTAAAAGTTACTAAATTTTTACTAGAGTAGGGTGCCGTACTTGACGAGAATTATGAGAAACGGCGAGTGGGGACAATGGAAACCAACTTCTGCTAAAGAAGGTTCTATAATAGGTGTAAAAAGCAAGTGCAAGTCAAAAAAAACTATGAGTGCAAGAGGGATAGATACTCTAGCTATCTCTCTTGCACTCATGGTTTTCTCGAATTTGCACTTGTCTTTTGCATCTATTGTAGAACCTCCTTTAGGCTGCAATCCCATGGCAGCGTTTTGCGTTGCGTTTTGTCACTAGACCATCAGTGTAAAAGAGATGCAGATATATGTTTGTTATGTTTACACTCAGGGTCTAGTGACAAAACGCAACGCAAAACGTTGCCATGGGACTGCAGCCTTAGGCTTAAACACGCTCGGTAGGTTTCCATTGTCCCCATTCGCCATTTGTCATAATTCTCGTCAACTACCACACCCTGCTCTAGTAAAATTGTAGTAACTTTCTTCTCAAAATTAAAAGTTACTAAATTTTTACTAGAGCACGGTGCGGTAGTTGACGAGAATTAAGACAAATCACGAGTGGGGACAGTGGAAACTAACCGCTCGTATAAACAGGTGTCAAATTTCTTGTGGTGGGCGGTGGGAAAGGGGTCATGTTTGTTCCAAAACGCTAGTTCCGAAACTTGCCACCGCAACTGAGGGCGCAATACAATAGAGGTGTGTGGGAAAATTATGTTACTTTTCGCAGAAGTTTTCTCCCACTAAATACGTGATACTCATTATTTAATTAACAACCACTTTATTAACAACTTAAGATGATATGATAATATTACATTAATTAGTTATTACTTGCGAGTCTATCTTCTCATATAAGTTAATTCTCTAAGCTATGCAGGTAGTTAAAGGAATGAACGTTCTATTTAAGGCCTAAGCAGAATGAAATCTCTAATCGTAAATCTTAAGCTTTTACATGAGAGAGAAAAGGACAAAAGATATTTCTATCCTTTTCTCTCTCATGTAAAAGCTTAAGATTTACGATTAGAGATTTCATTCTGCTTAGGCCTATTCGTATCCTCCCTCGGGTTACGCCGAGGGGCGAGGGAAAGGTACAATGGCTGCCAACCCCCACAGGTGTATGACTTGTTTACATTTATGT